GATAAAACACTGTGACAGCAGCCAGCCCAGCCCACACAGATCACCTGAACACCTGAACTGAGCGATCCCACAGACAGATTCGACACACCACCACCAACACTGACACAGATCAGCAGGCACTAGAACAGCAGACTTTGGGATGGTGATGAAGTCATGACTCACTGACACATTGCACATGTGATGGATGTCTGGCTGGCTGGGTCACACTCCTGCAGACATGGGACATCAAAATCAGACATTACCTTCTTTTGCAGGCGCAGCGCCGCCTCCGCTGTTGAATAGGAAGAAAAGGGCTGGAACTCCACAGTGATCAAAAGCCACCAGCTGGCTTGCAGTAAGGGACAGCGTCTGAGAGGAACACTGGAAGGAGCGGCAGCTCAGCTGCTCCATTGGCCCCAGACACCCGGCGTCTTCCTCTGTCCTCTCTTCCTCCCCTCCTCTCAGCTAGAGATTCATTCATGATGTGGTGACGTCTCACACAGAGAGAGTGCTGGATTGTGCTGCTCCCAGGCACCCCTAAGTAGAAGTGCGCCCTAGGCAGTCACCTAGTTTACCTAGTGGAAGCACCAGCCCTGCCACAAACCCATCAGAGAGATAGCAAAAACATTAGGCGTGGCCAAAACAACTGTTTGGTACATTCTTAAAAAGAAGGAACGCACCGGTGAGCTCAGCAACACCAAAAGACCCGGAAGACCATGGAAAACAACTATGGTGGATGACCGAAGAATTCTTTCCCTGGTGAAGAAAACACCCTTCACAACAGTTGGCCAGATCAAGAACACTCTCCAGGAGGTAGGTGTATGTGTGTCAAAGTCAACAATCAAGAGAAGACTTCACCAGAGTGAATACAGAGGGTTCACCACAAGATGGAAACCATTGGTGAGCCTCAAAAACAGGAAGGCCAGATTAGAATTTGCCAAACGACATCTAAAAAACCTTCACAGTTCTGGAACAACATCCTTTGGACAGATGAGACCAAGATCAACTTGTACCAGAGTGATGGGAAGAGAAGAATATGGAGAAGGAAAGGAACTGCTCATGATCCTAAGCATACCACCTCATCAGTGAAGCATGGTGGTGGTAGTGTCATGGCGTGGGCATGTATGGCTGCCAATGGAACTGGTTCTCTTGTATTTATTGATGATGTGACTGCTGACAAAAGCAGCAGGATGAATTCTGAAGTGTTTCGGGAATATTATCTGCTCATATTCAGCCAAATGCTTCACAACTCATTGGACGCCGCTTCACAGTGCAGATGGACAATGACCCAAAGCAGACTGCAAAAGCAACCAAAGAGTTTTTTAAGGGAAAGAAGTGGAATGTTATGCAATGGCCAAGTCAATCACCTGACCTGAATCCGATTGAGCATGCATTTCACTTGCTGAAGACAATACTGAAGGGAAAATGCCCCAAGAACAAGCAGGAACTGAAGACAGTTGCAGTAGAGGCCTGGCAGAGCATCACCAGGGATGAAACCCAGCATCTGGTGATGTCTATGCGTTCCAGACTTCAGGCTGTAATTGACTGCAAAGGATTTGCAACCAAGTATTAAAAAGTGAAAGTTTGATTTATGATTATTATTCTGCCCCATTACTTTTGGTCCCTTAACAAGTGGGAGGCACATATGCAAACTGTTGTAATTCCTACACCGTTCACCTGGTGTGGATGTAAATACCCTCAAATTAAAGCTGACAGTCTGCAATTAAAGCAGTCAAATCCATTGTGGTGTATAGAGCCAAAAATGTTAGAATTGTGTTGATGTCCCAATATTATGGACCTGACTGTATAGCACCATAAATATGACAGAATGTTAATCTGTGTTCCATGTGTAACATACAGTGCACAGAGAAAAAAGTAATAGAGACTGTCAGAATTAAAAGTAAAAATGTAAATTGAGATAATAATTAAAAATAATAAATAAAAAAATTAAAAACATTTTAACAACAATGTTTTTGTCTAAAATTACCATTAGCGGTTCTTTTCGTTAGCATATAAAAAGAAAAAATATATATAAGCAGGCCATTTATTAAAGTGGTGTACCAAACTATGTATTTATTTCATTTTAGCGAACAATACAGAGAAACAATATAATTTTTTAACTTGTTTTAGAGTTTATTGATAAAGCTTTACTAAACCCACAATAGTAAAACCAGTCTCTTTATTCATATGCAATAGAGGTTAATCCTCCACATTGTGTAAAAAGGCTGTTTGATCCTGTCTTCTCTGATCCTCCCCTTCTTTCACAGTCCCCAATCCATCTGCTGATAGTACAGAGCACCAGGAGTCAGCACATGCTCAGTTTGGTATGCATGGCTAGAGGGGGGAGGGTGCATGTGAGTGGCACAGGGCCAATCAGTGCTGTCCAGACAATGGGTCAGGGGTTATGCAGCCTCATGGGACAGTCAGAGGAGAATGAAAACTCCTGCTACAAGATTACCCAGCGCTCAGCTGGATACTGATAGAAGTCACAAGACTGCTATATACTGCTGATGAGAAAAAGTATTTAGCAGTTTATATTTACTACAATAATTTCATTTCCATGTTGTGTGTACTGTGGGAGACCAGATATAGGGAATGCAGGGTCCTGGGAGACCAGATATAACGAATGCAGGGTCCTGGGAGACCGGATATAGTGAATGCAGGGTCCTGGGAGACCGGATATAGTGAATGCGGGGTCCTGGGAGACCAGTTATAACGAATGCAGGGTCCTGGGAGACCGGATATAGTGAATGCAGGGTCCTGGGAGACCGATATATAGTGAATGCGGGGTCCTGGGAGACCAGTTATAACGAATGCAGGGTCCTGGGAGACCGGATATAGTGAATGCAGGGTCCTGGGAGACCGGATATAGTGAATGCGGGGTCCTGGGAGACCAGATATAACGAATGCAGGGTCCTGGGAGACCGGATATAGTGAATGCAGGGTCCTGGGAGACCAGATATAGTGAATGCAGGGTCCTGGGAGACCAGTTTATAACGAATGCAGGGTCCTGGGAGACCGGATATAGTGAATGCAGGGTCCTGGGAGACCGGATATAGTGAATGCAGGGTCCTGGGAGACCAGATATAGTGAATGCAGGGTCCTGGGAGACAAGATATAGTGCATGCAGGGACCCGGGAGACCAGATATAGTGAATGCGGGGTCCTGGGAGACCAGATATAGTTAATGTGGGGTCTTGGGAGATCAGATATAGTGAATGCAGGGTCCTGGGAGACCAGATATAGTGAATGCAGGGTCCTGGGAGACAAGATATAGTAAATGCTGGGTCCTGGGAGATCAGATATAGTGAATGCAGGGTCCTGGGAGACCAGATATAGTGAATGCAGGGTCCTGGGAGACAAGATATATTGAATACGAGGTCCTTGGAGACCAGATATAGTGAATGCGGGGTCCTGGGAGACCAGATATAGTGAATGCGGGGTCCTGGGAGGCCAGATATAGTGAATGCGGGGTCCTGGGAGACCAGATATAGTGAATGCGGGGTCCTGGGAGACAAGATATAGTAAATGCGGGGTCCTGGGAGATCAGGTATAGTGAATGTGGGGTCCTGGGAGACAAGATATAGTGAATACGAGGTCCTGGGAGACCAGATATACTTAATGCGGGGTCCTGGAAGACCAGATATAGTGAATGCAGGGTCCTGGGAGACCAGATATAGTGAATGCGGGGTCCGGGGAGATCAGATATAGTGAATGCGGGGTCCTGGAGATCAGATATAGTGAATGCAGGGTCCTGGGAGATCAGATATAGTGAATGCAGGGTCCTGGGAGACCAGCTATAGTGAATGCAGGGTCCTGGGAGACCAGATATAGTGATTTCAGTGTCCGGGGTTTAGTATCACTTTAAATTATCTGCCACTGTTACATTCAATCTGAGCATATAGGTGACAGTGACCTTCCAAACCCTTAATGCCCATTTACATTTGCAACTTTTTTTTATTTTATTTTAATATTGACATCCAGATGATGTGTGAGTTTACAGCCTATTTGTCTTTTTTTCAGACCACTGCATGGAGCAGAACCATCAGCTGTTCTCTCTATATAAGGATCCATGCAGAGACTGTACTGGCCAGGACAGACGGGGTACAGTGGGTGAGTACAGAGACATACCAGAAGGCCTTCATCTATGTCTCTCAACCTCTTCACCACCACGGTACCCTTTAAAATGATGCAATGTCTTGAGGTACCCCATGGGAGCGATACCTTGTTTTCTTTAGGACAAATTGGTGGAAAATGTTAACAGATATCTCCAGATTTTTTTTTTTTTTTATATTGTCAAAGGAAAACAACAAAAGTACAAAAAAAAAAATCAAACTTTAAATGTATACTTTTTGCCATTACCGTTACTCACCACCAAGAAAAAACTCAAAAATAAATTCTCTACTCCTGATGTGCATGAAGATGTCACACATGTACGCTATTGGCTCTTTGTACCTGTAGTAAGGTCCAGATACAAATTTTGCTTTTTTATCTTGGTTCTTTTTTTTGTTACCCTGCCAAAACATAAGAACAGTGATATAAACCCTTTTTTCCAACCTAACACACACTTAGACTGACCCAAAGGCTTACTAGACAGTGGCAGTGGTGGTGGTGATTGACCGATTGTAACACCATTTTGGATTCATTTTGGGTGCTGTGAACAATGAACCCGGTTTGCCTTGGATCAGTCGTATGAGTTGCCGTGGCTTGGGCAGGCCGGCACCATAACAACCAATGACACTCATTGTTCATTGCTATGGTGTTGGTGCCCTACTTGCCTGCACCAGGACAGCGTATGATACCGATCCAAGGCAGGTGGCATTCAGGGCCTCCCAGCATTCAGGAGAGGAAAAGAATTCTTGCACAGTTGTAGCGGCTCCTCTCCTGGAGTGAAATGCTTATTCTGATTTCATTGCACACTGTGAGCTTCTCTCAATGTGCATTAGAAGCTGCAGCAAGCCAGATGGAGCCCGCCTCATTTCCTGGCTGGAGGACGTCCAGCATTATCTATCTCTCTCCAGCCTAACTGTCCCTGGCCTGCTCCTTTCCTTCATTCAATTTCATGTTTTTCAATCATGGAGGCTCAGCATCACATGTGGGCAGGGGCGGACTGACAACTCATGGGGCCCCCGGGAAATAGGGGATCATGGGGCCCCTGTGTCCCTGGCCAAACTCAAAAAGCCTATGAAAAAAGGTACCAGGGGCATCTCATGGGGCCCCCTACTGATCCCGGGCCCTCGGGCAGTGCCCGAGTTTCCAAATGGTCAGTCCACCCCTGCATGTGGGCATTACCTAGAGTGCTCTGCATGCAATTACAAGCCTTACTAGGAACACTCACACCTCCAGACTGACATTCACCCATCAAGTCATTTTTATCTTTGCATAATTCCTCCCACTCTGTAGGATAGGATAGGTCTATACAACCTCACGTTGTCCTGTCCCATTGAGATTGTACTGGGCTATTTTATCCTATGAAGATTGTATGGGACTGTCTTATCCTATGGAGATTGTATTGGGCTATCCTGTCATACAGTATGGCTGTTGTATGGGGTTTGCCTATCCCATGAAGTTTGTATAGATCAGTGATGGCGAACCTTTTTGAGCCCGAGTGCCCAAAACTGCAACACAAAACCAACTTTTTTATTTCAAAGTGCCAACACTGCAATTAACCACTTGCCTACCGGGCACGTCTACCCCCTTCCTGCCCAGACCAATTTTCAGCTTTCAGTGCTGTTGCACTTGACAATGACAATTGTGCGGTCATGCAACACTCATTTTTTCACACAAATAGAGCTTTTTTTGGTGGTATTTAATCACCACTGGGTGTTTTATTTTTTGCACTATAAATGAAAAAAGAGCAAAAAATTAAAAACATAAAAGGTTTTCTTTGCTTCTATTATAAAATTTTGCAAACAGGTAATATTTCTTCTTTGATGTGCGTTGGTGAGGCTGCACTAATAGGCAGCACTGATGGGCATTGATGAGGTGGCACAGATAGGTAGCACTGATGAGGCGGCACTGGTGGGCATTGATGAGGAGGCACTGATGATGCACTGATATGCAGCAATGATGGGCACTGATAAGCGGCACTGACTGATAGCACCAACTGGAGGCACTGACAGACGGCACTGATCGGCGGCACTGCTGGGCATCATTGATGGGTGGCACTGATGGGCGACACTGCTGGGCACTGACAGGTGGCACTGCTGGGCAGCAGTGACAGGTGGCACTGCTGGGCAGCACTGACAGGCGACGCTGCTGGTCATTGATGGGTGACACTTCTGGGCACTGATGGATGACACAGCAAGCAGTTAATCTCACCTCTGGCAGTGTCGGTGTGGCTTCCAACCCAGCAGCTCATTCCCATCCATGCTGAACACATCGCCCCTGACCCCGGAGCAGTGTGGGAGCCTCTTCCTCTCTTCCACGCCCAACCCCGGCTACATCACCCCTGGTGCCAGATCCGCATAGGAGCCGTTTCCTCTCGTCCACACCCACCCTGGCCCCAGAGACCTGTGGGAGATGTAGTTTGATGGGGGTCCAGTGTGGACAAGATCTGGATGGCCGGTCAGTGTGCGTGGTCCGTGTGCGCTCATCTTCCTCTTCTTCCTGGCGTGCCCACTGAGATGGCTCTGCGTGCCATAGGTTCGCCATCACTGGTATAGTGCAATCATAACTCAAAAAGAATGTTTTGGGCTATCCTATTCTATAAAGACTTTACTGCATAGGGGGAGGAGGGCAATGGGATACTCCAAATACATGCTGGCAGGGTAATTGGCTTCTGTCTAAATTGGCCCTAGTATGTGTATGTATGAATGTAAGTTAGGGACCTTAGATTGTACGCCCCTTGAGGGTTAGGGACTGATGCGAATGTACAATATATATGTAAAGCACTGTGTAAATTGACTGCGCTATATAAGTACCGGAAATAAATAAATGGGATAGTATCATGAACTGGATCAGGTACAGCCAAAAGTCTGAGGAGGGCATAATCTACCATCTTCTTAACCAGCATATTATATATATATATAAAAGGGTTCCTGACTTCTTCTAGATGATCATATGAAGGATGGCTGTATTTTAAATAGGAGAACTGAGAATCTCTTGAAAAGGGCTGAATTTGGAGTTTTATGGTGGCTGATGGGTGGATATCAGTGATGCAGATTGTTTATTTGGAGGTTTACATTGGGTTCTCCAGAGACAGACCTATAACAATGGCTTCTTGTTTGTCCTAGGAACCCTCCTTAGATGGGACTGTCTCTACCATGAGGCTGTCAGCACTCCGGCCAACCTAAAGAGGTAAGATGGGGCTCATTGAGAATAAGTGGAACATTTTACTTGTTATGTTCATCCTGGAATCTCATTATGTGTTTTGATACAGGACTCTAGATTCAGAGGCTGAGCGAAAATTCTACGTGGCTCCACCTCTTCCTGAAGGAATCGATGGGAGCGGTGCGCACTGGACTGGCCGAAGAATAGATTATATCCTGTACAGAGAATCAGATTCATTACTTTCTCTGGTGAGAAATGCATATGAAGTGTTCTGAGATTTGTAGAAGTGTCCTATCCTGAAGAGGTTGTATGGGGTTATCCTATGGAGATTGCATAGGGCTGTTCTATCCTATGGAGAATGCACAAGTTTATCTTATCCTATGGAGAATTTATAGGTTTATTCTATCTTATAGAAAATGTATAGGCTTATCCTATCCTATGGAGATCGTAAATATTTATAACCTAACTGAAGGAGAATTTATAAGGGGATCCTTTCATATAGAGATTTTACAGGAATGTCCGGTCCTGTGGAAATGGTAGGAACCTACCAATTTTATGGAAATTGTGCAGGTGCAGCCTATCCTATGGGGAATGTATAGGGCTATCCTATGTTATGGGGAATATATGGGGTTCTTCTCTCATATGGAGAAAGTATGTGGCTAACCTATGGAGTTTACAGAGAGCTGTCTTGTCCTATGAGAACACTTAGGACTCTCCTATGGTGATTGTAGAAGGCTGTCCTATCCTTTGGAGATTGCATAGGGCTGTACTATCCTTTGAAGATTGCATAGGGCTGTCCTATCCTATGGCGATTGTATAGGGCTGTTCTATCCTATGGAGATTCTATAGGGCTGTCCTACCCTATGAAGATTGTATAGGGCTGTTCTATCCTAGGGAGATTGTATAGGGCTGTTCTATCCTTGGGAGATTGTATAGGGCTGTTCTATCCTTGGGAGATTGTATAGGGCTGTTCTATCCTATGAAGATTGTGTAGGGCTGTTCTATCCTATGGATATTGTATAGGGCTGTTCTATCCTATGGAGATTGCAAAGGGCTGTCCTATCCTATGGTGATTGTATAGGGCTGTCCTATCCTTTGGAGATTGCAAAGGGCTGTCCTATTCTATGGAGATTCTATAGGGCTGTCCTATCCTTTGGAGATTGCATAGGGCTGTCCTACCCTATGAAGATTGTATAGGGCTGTTCTATCCTAGGGAGATTGTATAGGGCTGTTCTATCCTATGGAGATTCTATAGGGCTGTCCTACCCTATGAAGTTTGTATAGGGCTGTTCTATCCTAGGGAGATTGTATAGGGCTGTTCTATCCTAGGGAGATTGTGTAGGGCTGTTCTATCCTATAGAGATTGTGTAGGGCTGTTCTATCCTATGGATATTGTATAGGGCTGTTCTATCCTATGGATATTGTATAGGGCTGTTCTATCCTATGGATATTGTATAGGGCTGTTCTATCCTATGGAGATTGTGTAGGGCTGTTCTATCGTATGGATATTGTATAGGGTTGTTCTATCCTATGGAGATTCTATAAGGCTGTCCTATCCTATAAAGATTGTATAGGGTCATCCTATCCTATGGAGATTGTATAGGGTCATCCTATCTTATGGAGATTGTATAGGGTCATCCTATCCTATGGAGATTCTATAGGGCTGTCCTATCCTATAGAGATTGTATAGGGTCATCCTATCCTATGGAGATTGAATAGGGCTATTCTATCCTATGTAGGCTGTATAGGCATGTTCTATTCTATGGAGAATGTATAGGGCTGTTCTATCCTATGGAGATTGTATAGGCCTGTCCTATCCTATGGAGATTCTATAGGACTGTCTTATCTTTTGGAGATTCTATAGGGCTGTTCTTTTCTATAGAGATTGTATAGGGTCATCCTATCCTATGGAGATTGTATAGGACTGTTCTATCCTATAGAGATTCTATAGGACTGTCCTATCCTATGGAGAATGTATGGGGCTGTTCTATCATATGGAGATTGTATAGGGTTGTTCTATCCTATTGAGATTGCATAGGGCTGTTCTGTCCTATGGAGATTGTATGGGGCTGTTCTATCATATGGAGATTGTATAGAACTGTTCTATCTTATGAAGATTTTATAGGGCAGTTCTGTCCTATGGCGATTGTATAGGGTGGTCCTATCCTATGGAGATTGTATGGGGCTGTTCTATCATATGGAGATTGTATAGGGCTGCCCTATCTTTTGGAGATTCTGTAGGGCTTTCCTATTCTATGGAGACTATTTAGGGCTGTTCTATCTTATAGAGATTCTAAAGGACTGTCCTATCCTATGGACATTGTAAAGGAGTGTTCTATCCTATGGAGATTGTGTAGGGCTGTTCTATCCTATTTAGGCTGTATAGGGCTGTTTTTTCCTATCTAGACTGTATAGGGCTGTCCTATCCTATGGAGATAGTATAAGACTGTCCTATACTAATGAGATTGTTAAAGGCTATTCTAACTTTAAAAAAAAAACTGTATAGGGCTGCCCTAGCCTATGAAGGCTGTGTTGGACTATTCTTTCCTATGGAGATTATATAGGGCTGTCCAGTCCTACGGAGATTGTAAAGGGCTATTCTATCAATTGAGCTTGTTAAGAGCTGTCCTATCCTATGGAGACTGTGGTCATTGTGTTGTAACTACAATACCAAAGTGGTACATAGAGGGCTCAATTCATAGAGCTTTATTGCAATAATATGTATCTTTATTTTCAATATATATATATATATATAGTCAGGTCCGTAAATATTGGGACATAGACACAATTCTAACATTTTTGGCTCTATACACCACCACAAAG